GCAGACAGCCCGCACTGCACCTGCTCGGCCTCGCCATTGACGCTCAGGTGTACGTACACCTCACGACGCGCAGCCCCTACAATTCTCAAAGCAGCCCTCTTGGGAGCAGCTGCAGCACACCTAGCTAGCTGGCTAGCTAGCTAGCTAGCTAGCTAGCCACCAGCACCTGCACAACTAGCTAGCTAGCTAGCTGACCGGCTAGCTAGCTAGCGGGCTCGTCGGCTCCGCGCCGAGGCAGCTCGTTGAGTCCCTGCAGCCTCTGCAGCCGTCTCTGAGCCCTAGGGTTTGAAGTATTCAAGACTAGGATATATACTAGGGTTTAGGGTTTAGGGTTTAGGGTTTAGGGTTTGGGGTTTATTCAATAGTGTGGATCGGCGCCGTCGCGTTCCACATCTCATGGAAAAACTTATAGTACTCTTCGCTCGTAGAGACCTGCACAAACAGCGAATTAGGGTTTAGGGTTTAGGGTTTAGGGTTTAGGGTTTAGTGCCTAGGGTTTGGCTACTTGTCGCTTTCTCTCTGCAGCTCGTCTCCGCCATGCGCTGCTGCCTCCTCAGCCCCAAACCCTCACCCCCAAACCCTAAACCCTAAACCCTAAACCCTAAACCCTAAACCCTACCTTATACTCCGTCGGCGAATGCAGCCGCAGATGGTCCGCCCTGAAGAGCTGCAGCTGGTTGATGCAGCGAGCCCGGCAAGTCTGAAAAAATAAAAATAAATAAATAAATAAATAAATTAATTAATTAATTAATTAATTAATTAATTAATTATAAATAAATAAGTAAATAATTATTAATGAAATAAAAGACTGGAAAACTAGCGAGTAAATGGATCAGGAGAGAGAGGCAGCCGGCAAACAAATCCAGAAGCAAGCGTAAACCCTAAACCCTAAACCCTAAACCCTAAACCCTAAACCCTAAACCCTAAACCATAAGCACTCGGCCCTGCAGCATCTGCCCACAGCAGCTTCGCTGCGCCTCCGCTAGCGTTGCTGCCGCTGGTGCAAGGGTTTGTGGAGCGCGGGTTTAGGGTTTGACTCGCGAACCGAGGGTTTAGGGTTTAGGGTTTAGGGTTAAGGGTTTGGGGCAGAACCGCTAGAACCGCAAACCCTAAACCCTAGACCCTGGCGCGTGTGTGGCGCGTGTGGCGGGCGCACCCAGCCGAAGCGCCGGGCTGCAGCCCAGGTCTCGAGCTAGGGTTTAGGGTTTAGGGTTTAGGGTTTAGGGTTTAGGGTTTGGGACCTGGAGGTCGTCGGGCTCCGCAGCAACTCGGCCTTTTTCAAGAAAAAGAACTAAAAGTTCTTCAACTGCTGTCGGCACAAAAAAACATCTTTTTTTATCTGCGTAGAGATCTTTGCAGAAGAGTTGGCGGCCGCAGAGGGGGGGGGGCATGTTCGCGCTCTGCACCCGCACCGCAAACCCTAATTTAGGGTTTAGGGTTTGGCGCGCCGCCCGCGCCCCGCGCCCGCCGCCTTCCCCCGCACAAGCAGCGCCCCAACCGGCCCTAACCCCCAAACCCTAAACCCTCGGCCGCGCCTCCGCGCAGCAACGAGCCCCAACCCTAAACCCTAAACCCTAAACCCTAAACCCTAAACCCTAAACCCTCGCCACCTGGATCAAGTCCACTGAAGGAATGCCTGCTTTGTTGTAAAGACGGTAAGCTGCCTTTGCTGTTGGCAAAGAAGTCTTTTCAACATCTTCGGAAAGTTTCATGCAGGGTTTGCCTTCGAGTTCCACCAGCTTGTACACCTTCACGCAAACCCTAAACCCTAAACCCTAAACCCTAAACCCTAAACCCTAAACCCTCGCCCGCGCTCTCTGCGCGGGGTTTTGGCTCTGGGGTTTAAACGCTCAAGGCTTTAATAAGCAAGACAAACCCTAGCGCGACAGCCAAAACTGCTGCTTCACTCAGATCCAGTAGAATTTAAAACTGAGGGTTTAGGGTTTAGGGTTTAGGGTTTAGGGTTTAGGGTTTGGCTCACCACGCCCAGCGCCGGCTGCGACTGACACGTTACGACATTCGTGCCAATGCCAAAGACGTCTGCCTCATGACCCTGAAGAAAGTCCCAAACCCTAAACCCTAAACCCTAAACCCTAAACCCTAAACCCTAAACCCTAGTTGCCTGAGGCGTTTGACCCTCTGCGTTTGGCGCACAAGAAAGGGTTTAGGGTTTAGGCGCGTCGTCTTGGAAGAAGCTGTTGCAGGCCTTGCTGAGTTGTGGCGGCTTGAGGTTTACAACCTAGGGCGCACAAGAAAGGGTTTAGGGTTTAGGCGCGTCGTCTTGGAAGAAGCTGTTGCAGGCCTTGCTGAGTTGTGGCGGCTTGAGGTTTACAACCTAGGGTTTAGGGTTTAGGGTTTAGGGTTTAGGGTTTAGGGTTTACCTCGTCGTTGAGGGCCGTAATTGCCGCTTCATTGAGGTCGTTAGAAACAACAATTAATAAATCCGAAAATGGAAACCCTAGGGCCTTTTCGCATTGCCTGAACTTCTCCCGGGCCTCCCTGAAAACCCCAAACCCTAAACCCTAAACCCTAAACCCTAAAACTTAGCTACGGGTGGCTGGGCCTCGGCACGAGCTGCAGCTGGCTTCGCATCGCGCACAGTCTATGCTCTCGAGTTTAGGGTTTAGGGTTTAGGGTTTAGGTTTTGGGGCACCGGCTCGGTAGAGTTGAGAGCTCAACACCTGCCAAAGTGGCTTAAACGCTAGGGTTTAGGGTTTAGGGTTTAGGGTTTACAAGATGGTATTCTGTTCAGAGACAAAGAGCAAGGCGCTACATAAAAGGCTAGGGCTTGCAAACACGCATTTAGGGCTCAGGGTTCAGGAATTAGGGTTTAACGTCCACGGTCTAGGGTTTAGGGTTTAGGGTTTAGGGTTTAGGGTTTGGGACCTCGAGAGATAGGCCAGGTCCCCAGAGTCCACGCGGAGGCCTTTGGGCTTTTGGCCCCGCTGAAACATCGCGAGGGCCACTGACAAGAAATTTGGAATTCCTAAAATAAATAAATAAATAAATAAATAAATAAATAAATAAATAAATAAAAATAAATAAAAATAAAAATAAATAAAAATAAAAATAAATAAATAAAATAAATAAATGAAAAGGCGCAGATCGGCATGCGCGCAGGCACTCCACGGGCGAAAGAAGGCGGGCTGCAGCTCCTGAGCAAGGGTTTAGGGTTTAGGGTTTAGGGTTTAGGGTTTAGGGTTTGGGGTTACCGGAGCTGAGGGTGTTGTAGGTGTCCACGAGGGCCAGGAAGTTCTCCGGAAACGTCTGCAGCAGCCCGCAGCAGCAGAAGCAAACAAATAAATAAAAACAATAAATTAAATTAATTAAATTAATTAAATTAATTAAATTAATTAAAATAATTAAATTAAAAATAAATAAACAATTTAAATTCTAAAAAGTCCCACCATTGCATAGGCCACAAACGCAGCCAACTCTCCCTCTTTTGCCATTTGGTGAAAATTCCTCTCCGGCCAAATTTTGAAAACCACCTCCCGAGCTGCCAGCACCTGCAGCAGCAGCAGCAGCAGCAGCAGCAGCAGGATTAGGCGCAGCAGCAGCAGCAGCAGCAGCAGGATTAGGTGCAGCAGCAGCAGGATTAGGTGAAGCAGCAGCAGCAGGATTAGGTGCAGCAGCAGCAGCAGGATTAGGTGAAGCAGCAGCAGCAGCAGGATTAGGTGAAGCAGCAGCAGCGGCAGGATTAGGTGCAGCAGCAGCAGCAGCAGGGTTAGGTGCAGCAGCAGCAGCAGGATTAGGTGCAGCAGCAGCAGAAGCACCAGCAGGATCAGGTGCAGCAGCAGCAAAGCAGCAGCAAAAGGATTAGGTGCAGCAGCAGCAAAGCAGCAGCAGCAGCAATAGCAGCACGATTAGGTGCAGCAGCAGCAAAGCAGCAGCAGGAGCAGCACCGTTGGGTCCAGCAACAGCAGCAAAGCCTTAGCAGCAGTAACAGCAGCACGATTAGACGCAGCAGCAGCAGCAAAGCAGCAGCAGCGAGGGAAAAAAAAGAAACAGCAGCAGCAGCGGCAAAGAGCAGCAGCAGCAGCAAAGCAAGAGCAGAAGCAGCAACAGCAGCAATGCCACCAACTGCAGCAGCAGGAGCTGCAGCAGCAGCAAGGACAGCAGAAGCAGCAGCAGCAAGGGCAGCAGAAGCAGCAGCAGCAAGAACAGCAGAAGCAGCAGCAGCAAGAACAGCAAAAGCAGCAGCAGCAAGAACAGCAGAAGCAGCAGCAGCATCAAAAGCGAGCTGCGGCCCAGCGCTTTGCGTCCAGAACGCAGGACCTAGGGTTTAGGGTTTAGGGTTTAGGGTTTAGGGTTTACGGCTTCGGGGAAGTCCAGCCCCAAGGGCGAGGGTTTGACTTTCAAGTCTTTGAAAGAAGCAAAAGAAGAAACAAATGCATGCGACATTGTCCCGGCCAAAGGAATCCCGAATTGGTACGCAGCCTGCGCCAAACCCTAAACCCTAAACCCTAAACCCTAAACCCTAAACCCTAAACCCTAAACCCTCAGCCCGCGCCCCCAACCCTGCGCCAAGCTCGCAGCCTCAAGCCCCGGGGGCTCAACCCGCAAGCATAAACCATTCACTCAAAACCCTAAATCTTCAACAGCAAACCCTAAACCCTAAACCCTAAACCCTAAACCCTAAACCCTAACCTGCAAGTTGCTCGTGCCGTCGAAGGTTCCAAGGTAAGCATAACGACTCGCAGATAGAGCTCCGTCAGGCCCTGCAGCAAAAAAGACCCCTAAACCCTAAACCCTAAACCCTAAACCCTAAACCCTAAACCCTTAGCACTAAACAGCCCTGGAGTCGCACAAGGTTGCAGCTGCCCCACCTCTCCCCGAAACTGCTGCAGCAGCGGCAGCAGCAGTTGCAGCAGCAGCAGCAGTTGCAGCAGCAAAATAGAAGCAGCAGCAGCAACAGCAGCAGCAGCAAAGCAGGACTTACCCTGGGCTCTTCTTGCGCCGAATTCGAAGAGCTTCTTCTTCCACCCAGCAGCAAGCCTATGCCTGCAGCAGCAGCAGCAGCAGCAGCAGCTTGGGTTGCTGCTGCAGCAGCTAGCCTCAAGCAGCAGCAAGGCAGCAGCACGGTGCCAAAGGAGCAGCGAGCAGCAGGACAAGCAGCAGAAGAAAAGCCGGCAGCAGAAGCAGCAGCAGATGCTGCTGCTGGTGCAGCAGTTGCAGCAGCAGCAGCAGCAGCAGCAGCAACTCCAGCAGCAGCAACAGCATCCACAACTTCCTCCGCAGCCGCAGCCGACGCGGCAGCCCCAGCAGCAGCAGCATCACCAGCGACCAGCCGCAGCAGCCCCCAAATCCGCAGCAGCAGCAAGAATAACCCTAGCAGCCGCAGCAGCAGCCCCAGCAGCAGCAGCAGCAGCAGCAGCAGCAGCACCCCCAGCAGCAGCAGCAGCCCCAGCAGCAGCAGCAGGACCTGGCAGCATTGGTGGCGACTAGAGTGGCAAATCCCAAAATGTTTAAAAGTGAAGTTTCGATCAGTTGGCAAAAGGCCAGCGGTCCAGACACCTGAAAAACCGGCACTTTCGGGAACACCACCGAGCCCTCTTTTATTGCTGCAAATAAAAATATAAATAAATGAATAAATAAATAAATAAATAAATAAATAAATTAATTAATTAATTAATTAATTAATTAATTAATTAATTAATTAATTAATAGTAATTAATAATTAATTAATATTTAATTGGCTGTTTTTTGGCTTTTGTTTGGCTGCTGCAGCAGCAAAATGTGAAGGGTTTTGCTGCTGCTGCAGCGCCGCTCGTTTGCTGCTGCTGCTTTTCTTTTATTTATTTTATTTTTATTTATTTTTATTTATTCTTATTTATTTTTATTTGTTTTTTATTTATTTGTTTTTGTTTATATGTGCATTGGCCATTTAGTTGTTATACTGTTTATTTATTTATTTATTTGTTTATTTATTTATTTTGTTTTTATTTATTTTGTTTTTATTTATTTATTTATTTATTTTTATTTATTTATCTTTGTTGAGGGCCTGGAGAAAAGAAAAGACTTAAAAAGAAGAAACGAAAAAAGACATCAAAAGAAATAAATCGAAATTAAAATAAAATTGAATAAATAAAATAAAATAAAATAAAATTGAATAAATAAAATAAAATTAAATAAAATCAAATTAATAAAATGGAAAAAAGCAAGATTAAAAAAGACAAAAGGAAATTGAAAAGAAGACAAGAAGACATACAAGAAAATCTAAAAAATTAAAAAAGACAAAAAGAATATTAAAAAGAAATATTTAAAAATAACATTTAAAAAGAATATCAAAAAGAATGCCAAAGAAGAATAAAAAAGAGAATCAAAAAGAAGATCAAAAACAATATTGAAGCAAAAGAATAAAAGAAATAAAAGAAATAAAAGAAATAAAGAAATAAAGAAATAAAAGAAAAAAGGGAAAAAAGGAATAAAAGAAATAAGGAAATAAAAGAAATAAAGAAAAAAGAAATTAAAAAAATAAAAAAATTAAAATTAAAAATAAAAGAGGGTTTTACCTCGGACGGTGAGCATGGAGGCGTCGAGGGACTGGAGGTACTCGATAAACCCTAAATTAGGGTTTGGGACTTGGCCGCGAATGAAGGCCAGCTGCTGGGGGCCGAGTCTAAACCCTCGCAAAAACCCTAGCGCAGCTCTAACCCCTCCAAGAACTGCAAAACATCCTCCAAAAGGACATTTCCGAAAAGAAACTTCAAAAACGCAAAACTCTTTATGTTTTTTTTGCAAAAAGTAACAATAAGCCATTGTCAGTTGGTACTGGTCCATCAGCAGCGGCCCCCCCCCGCCTCCAAACCCTAAATTAGGGTTTAGCCCTTCAAACCCCAACTCCGCGCACTCGCAGGGGGGCCCCCGCTTGCTGCACGCCTCTGGGGGGGCCCCCCCGGCCGGCGGGGGCCCCTCAGGGGGCCCCCCGGGGGGCCCCCCGGGGGGGCCCCTGGGGGGGCCC